GCCATCCTAACACCCCAGCGGGAGGAGGCAGGGCGCGAGGGCAGGACAATGGACTCCTCTCCAAATAAGAACATGAAAAATTCCCAGTTTAGTAGTTTTTAACTTCCCTGAACACATTATGACTTCGTGAGCAAAACGTATGATGCCTACTAAATGTCTGTTGCTAACTGAGCAATTCTATTCCTACAGATCATTAATATCGTAAATTAGGAGGCTGGAAATATTTTAGGACTCATGTCTTCCCACCCCTGGTATTTTTTTCTGGTTTTCTCATGTTTAAACCAACCTCTAAGTTCCTTGATGTAGGAGAACTATACAAATACATTTTTCTGATATACATACATTATTTTTATAGTGTTAGAATCACATAAATCCTCAAGTACCCATAGGCATTCTGGAAACACTCAGATTACTGAGAGTTCCTCAGACCAGTTTTAGAGATGAGAAAAATAAAGAAGGTGCACTAACGCCCTCAGACAGACACATGGACTCAGAGCACCATACACACTCAAATGAGGTAGCCCAGTGACCCACAGCCTTTAAGGGAAAAAAAAAACCCTCCCATGAAACTTTTGATACCCAAAATATACTATGTATCTATTTATGTGATATATGCATAAAAAACAGTACCATTTTTTTCATCCTCCAACCACTAAATTTCACTCCCTTAGGGGATAAGGCATCTCTGATGAGAATGCAAGATCCAGTTCATTTCCTCCACTAAATTAGTCAGAATACATACACGTCAGCAAGTATTAACAATTTTGGAGCCAGTAGATATATATATATTTATAAATCTTTTTTAAAAGAAATTTTTAATGTTTTTTTTTTTTTCCTGAGAGCGAGCGAGAGACAGCATGAGCAGGGAAGGGTCAGAGAGGGAAGGAGATACAGACTCTGAAACAGGCTCCAGGCTCTGAGCTGGCCGTCAGCGCAGAGCCTGACGCGGGGCCCAAACCCATGAACCGTGAGATCATGACCTGAGCCAAAGTCAGACGCTCAACTGACTGAGCCACCGAGGGGCCCCGCCAGTAGATATTTTTTAATGTCTTGATTTTTTTTTTTTTAAGCAATAAGCACTACATACAAGTACTGAATAATTTTCACTTTATTCCTGTCCTTAGTATTTTAAACTGCTGGATGTAGGATAAGAAAAACAGAAATAGAAGTTCTGTTTGTTGTAAAGTTTATCCTTTGGCCCCATTAGGTGCATGGGGCTTTGTCTTGCCTTTAAAAATTCTAAAACTATACATGCCCCCACTCACAGTTATCATGCTTTTGCATTAAAAATCCAGCCAGCCTGCCTCTGCTCCTGTGTGGGCACCTGAGTACAATGGTGTGTGGGCCAATCTTAAAAAGGGCAGAACAGGCCCCCACCTCCAGCCAAGATCACCAATTACTAACGTTGACAGATACAGCCAGCCAAATAAAGCACTACAGTTAAAAGCTAAAGGCTCCCTCATCTTTGGAGTATAAGAAGGAAGAACGACAGAAAAAAAAATTGACAATTGTTCGAGCTAGGTCATTTGAAGAAGGAAGAAACAAATGAAAACACAGGTGCCCAACGGAGGATTTGTTCTGGACACCATACTTTGTAATCTACTCCTGTCACAAAGTATGTATGTCCTATTTGTTTGGGGAGGAAATATTATTTTCCATCACAAAGATCTCCTGGTTTCTAACATCAAGAATCAAGACATCCTCTCTTAAAGGGTTTGAATATCTAAATTACCTTCCTGGTCAACCTATGTCCCAACACCTACCTATTACTGAGTAACTGCCAGATCTTCCACTTGGAGATCTCTAAAATCAGCTCTGGGGGCTACTATCACTTCTGCTCAGAGTAGCACCTTCTGCTTCGAAGCTTTCTCTATGGAGTATCTTTTCCACTTTGGAAAACTATGTGGCTTGTGCAGAAGGCAGTGATATTTTGTTTGATCATTTATCCCCAGAATCCAAAAGCACAATGAACACAAAGAACACTATACCCGCAAAATGCTCCACACGGAGTCTCATTCTTAAGAAATGACAACTCTGGGGGTGCTTGGGTGGCACAGTTGGTTAAGTGTCCAACTTCGGCTCAGGTCATGATCTCATGGTTCGTGGAGTTTGAGCCCCACATCAGGCTTGATGTGGTCAGCCTGTCAGAGCAGAGCCGCCTTCGGATCCTCTGCACCCGCCCCCACTTGCATTCTCCCCAAATTAATATTAAAAAAAAAAAAGAAAGAAAGAAATTATAACTCTGAATTTGTTAAGCTTGTCCTAAGAGCAAATCAGCTAAAGAAAAAGAGCCGAGATGACTCAGTATGTACCAGTCAACATACTGACCACACACCAAAAGTCCACCATCTACCAGATACTGCTGGTAGTTTTACAATAGCCTCTTTTGGTTTCAGGCAGCAGGGGTGCTTCCCCCACGCTCGCGCCAGCTCCCCTTCAGACGTCTGACACTCCTCCAGCTTCTCTTCTTCGTACTGTTCTAACCTTACAGTTTCACCTTAGAAACAGCTCACCTCTGCACAAAATCCCATTAGTGCCTCCATTCTATGCGGATATCCACAAATCTCTTTAGTCTACACCAACCTATTTAACTGTTCAATAATCTCTTTTCTTAGATGTCTCTAAAACACCTTAATCATAACCAAATGGAGCTCAGGATGTTCCAAAAAATATTCTGTCTCCCATATTACCTTTCCCAATGAATAGCACCCAGGCAACAAGCTGCCTTAATCAGACTTCTTCCTGACCCGCCCCTCAGTCTACTTCTATCGTCTAAATAGGCATCCCCTTCAGCAGAAACACCCACCATCTCTACACAGTGGAATGTCCTCACTGATTTCCTTTTTTTTAACCACTCTGCTACAACAATGTCTTTCTTAAAATGCAACTCTGACGTTATTTCCATGCTTAACATCCTCCAATTACTTCCTACTCTTAAAGAATCAAGTTCAACATGAACTCCCTAATTATATAGTTTCTGCCCACTTCTCCAACTACCTCTGCCATTTCCCTACAAAGAGCCTGGTGCATTTTTTTTTTAAGTTTATTTATTTATTTTCAGAGAGAGAGAGAGAGAGAGAGGGAGCGAGCAGAGGAGGGTGGAGGGAGAGAATCCCAAACAGGCTCCATCCTATCAGCACAGAGCCTGATGTGGGGCTCAAACTCACAAACCATGAAATCAAGACCTGAGCAAAACCAAGAGTCAGATGCTTAACCGACTGAGCCACCCAGGGGCCCTGACCTGATGCTTTTTGACAAGAGCAGAATCACCTACAGTTCCCCGACCTTCCGTGGTTTTTCACGTCTCTTCTCTCTGCCTGCAATGCCTCACCTCCGTATTTATTTACCTAGTCTAATCTTACTCTTTAAAATGTAGCTGAATGGCCCATCTGTGAAATCTATCAACCCACTCTCCTTTCCAGGTGTGTGCCTTGTACACATTTACACTAATGAAATGAAGCTAACTACACTACACTACCACAGAGCATAGCCTCTCATGTCCTGCAAAGTCCAGTCTTCAGTTTCATCACATTCCTATATATAGGAGACACTCAACACCTGTTAGAGGAAGGAGTTAATCCCTCCTCTAATGAATAACTGAAATAACACAACTTACCGTTATTAAGCATTTGTTATGTGCCAGAATTCAAGACATACTGGGCCATTTCATCCTCATAACAAAACTCTGTAAGATGGATAGGTATTATTTTATTTTAAAAGTGAGGAAGCTAAGGTCCATTCAAAGAGGCAAGATAACTTGCCCAAGGAGACATAGCTTTTAAATGGAAAAAGGAGGACTGGAACTTAGGTCTGACCAATTCCAGAGTCTATGCTTGTAATCATTATGTATACTTCCCATCATGTGTTGTTTTCCACTTTCCTTAACAGACCTCCCTAAGAGTCAAATCTATGCTATTAATAAATGTTTGTTTATTTTTGAGAGAGACAGAGAGTGAGCAGAGGAGCAGAGAGACAGGGAGACACAGAATCTGTAGCAGGCTCCAGGCTCTGAGCTGTCAGCACGGAGCCCGACGCAGGGCTGGATCTCACAAACTGTGAGATCATGACCCAAGTCGAAGTTGGGCTCTCAACTGACTGAGCCACCCAGGCATGTCCCCTATCCGTGCTATTTTTGACCAGTACTTCACAAAATAGCTAGTTAGGTTTCTATTCAGGTTTTATACTTTCTGTATCTGAGGGAATAGATTTATTTCAGATTAAGAATGCTATGGATACGGAAGCTATGGAGTTACTGCAGATTAAGAATGCTATGGACAATGAGCTCAGAATAATAGGATTACTATAAACTGTCTTGCATGCAAGTATCTGGTACCCAACCTAATCTTTCCATTTTAACCAAACGGAAAAATCCAGCCACCCTGAGAAGGTAGCTATTTGAGATCCATATAGGAGGATGAGGAGGAGAGGAGGAGGAGGAGGAGGAGGAGGAGGAAGAAATCTAACCACTTATTTACTTAGGTCAGTCTTCAAAAAGAATAACTCCTCTGAATTTCTGGAAGGCAGGGCAGTCTGAAAATATAAAAGAGCCTTTTATTTGGCAGTTTTGAACTTCATAACCAAACTTCTGATGGCAGATCATGAAGACAAAGAGCAAACGTCTCTGGTGAGCCTCTCCTCTGCTGCTGGCCATCTTTATTTTTAGGACATTCTCTGGCAGTTCTAGTATCAAACGACTGCTACACTGAGAATATGTAAGCTGGCAGGTGTCTAATACCAATCCTACCATCTGCTGCTCACCCAGATGCTTACATGTAAACTGGGAAAAAGTCCATGAAGGGAGTAGGAGCTAATGGCTCATCTTAAACCAGATCTCCTACTTTTAGCGGTCTCAAAACCAAACCAAACCAAAAACCCTCTAAGAATTTTTTAATCTTTCCAGTTAGAACCTTTTATCAAAGAAATTCTCAATCCTACTTTAATGAATTCTACTTTTGTTGTACATAATGGTACAGAAAATTAAGCTGTCCTTTTACTCAGAATAAATCAGTTATGCATTTTTAATAGAAGTGAAACAGTAAAACTGAAGGGGACAGCAGGGACAGGCAATCCTGGACAGAAGCTGCCTTTACAACCATGGTAGTAATGACTGACTGTACGGCTTGGAAAGGAACATCTGGTACCATTTCCATCAAGGTGAAAGGTTCAAATCGAAGGACAATGGGGCTGTGGGGGACAGAAAGAAAATAATGAGTAAAAGAAAAAAGTACCATCAGTACAATTAGCATCTTTAAAAATTGAATAGATGTAAGTAACTGGGAACAATTAATAACCCAACAGGTAGGGACCCCAGGGCTGCTCAGGAACACCAAAAAGTGACCAGAACCACTGGAGGAATGGCTCTTATTCAATCTGTGAGCACCAAAACCAATCGTCCGACCTCCAGGCCTCCCTGCTATCCCACTGGCAACTCTGTGGTAATACCACTTTCACCATGACTTCTTTTCCCTTTCTTTCATATGCACATCTACTCAGGTACCAAGTCCTGTTTTTCCTTTAAAACACTTCTAAATATAATAAGGATGTTCACCTCAGCATTATTTAAAACAGTGGGCCAGGGAGAGGAAACATTCTAATATGTCCAACAGTAGTGGAATGGTTAAATATATATAATGAGACAGTCTGCAGCTGTTACAAATGTTGCTTCTAAGAGTTTATTATAGCATGGGTGGAGGGGTCACTGAGTGGTCTCCTCAACTCTAGTCTGCCTCTATGTAGTACCCACAAGGCTTGGGTGGGACTGGACCCCCAATCAACTCTCCCCTAACCCTCCAGTGACTGGCTTAGTCCTTGGTTACTTCAACCAACCAACCCAAATTTCAAGACTTTTGCTGGAGGTGAAAGGGCACACTTCTCTCCCTCCTGATATTAATAGGTCTTTTGGTCAAGTTCCCGGGTGACAAGCACACTGAAAACCAGCCTCAGAACAAAGCTAATATGTGTAACAAGGCATAGCTACCAAAAACTAACGGAGACACTAAGCTGAAGCCCTGATCAAACCATATCTGATCTCTACCCAAGCTTTTGATCTTTCTGATAACATAAGCCTATATTTAGACGAGTAGCATATTTTGTGGTACACAAACAACAGCAGCTTAATTCAATGGAAAAATACTGATTTTTTTAAAAAGGCACTTTCACATATGGTGTGATCTCTACTTTAAAAATGTCTAGATAAATGATCATTAGAAAATAAAATATAAACAGTGATTATTTCTGGGCAGACTGGGCTAGATTTGGGCAGTGATCAGGAACCATCACAAATTTCATTGCAAAAAAGAGACTGCCATACTGATCACTTTGAAACTCATATTCCATGTACACTCCAACCCTCTGTGAACACTACCTTTTTCTACCTATCCAGATCTTAGCCACTCAGGATCAGCATTTCTCTTCTTACCTTTAATCTCCAATAGCTACTTTCTCTGAATGTTCAATGCCTTCAACAGTTAACAGCAGCCAACTATTATAACTACCTCATTTACTGAATGTCTGCTATAACACCAGCTACATCCTGGGCACTTTATGTTATTACATGTAAACATAACTGTTTCTGCATTAGTCACTTCTTTTCAACTAAATACTAAATTCCTGGAGGACAGGAATTGTTTTACATTTATGTTGAACTGCCTCAACACCTAGCATATTCTAAAATAAAGCAGAGGTTCTTAATACATAGTCTTTTTATATACATTTGGAAGGCAGGAAATAGTTTTTAACAGATTTTCAAAAGTGAGACATCCAAAAACAGGTTAAGAACTGCTGCAACAGAGATGCAACAAACAGTTCTTACATCAATAATTAAATAGACCAACAGGAAGCCAAAGATTCCCAGCGAAAATACCCCATGATATACACCAGTTAGCAGAAGCCCCGCTTTGGTATATTACAAGGCTTTAGGAATCTCACAGAGATAGCACTCTGATGAAATGGAGGCAAACCCAACTTCCCCTTGACAACTGACAGCACTGTTAATGGTCCCTCTCCACTGGACTTGGGGAGAAGTACCTGTGTTTTCAACCTTCCGTTCATACGAATTAGCTCTGTTTAAGCAGAAATCATTTTAGCTAAGCCAGGAAACTTTACCTACCTAGGCCTACCTTAATGAGCATAATAGGGCTAATGAGAAGTATAAAATTAACACAAGACTTTAGTATTTGACTGTCTTACATGGGAATTCTCATCTGAACCTTTCATTTATAGGGCTATGCTATTTGCTATGTCAATAAAAATTACATTCTACTGTAACCAATTTAGAAAGTCTACTCCAATGGATTCTAGCATCTGCAGCAAAGAGTCACAATCCCATCCGTCACTCTATTTTAAGACAGACAGTGAAACAGGAATTGCCTAAAGCACTTAAGTCACAGGGGTGATTCATGCTCCTCCAGGTGAAGACTGCTTCTTGCCGTGGAGGATACAGAAGGAAGTTACCTTGTGAGCACCGAGGTGGTTCCTGTTACGGTTTACTTTATTCATCCGTGGGTAGATTCTAAACCATCTGCAATATTTTTAGTCAACCTCTTCCTATGGTTTAGCATTCAAGCTCCTATTTTCCTCAATTAGCTAATCCTTAACTTTCCCACCTTGGTTAGCAGTAGTACCAGCGTGTGCCAGCCTCAAGCCTCCCAGCCTGCCTGCCTGCCTGCCTGCATCTCTTGCCCTGAGCAGGCATTTCTCCCCTTGTAATGCCCTCTAGACTGTGACTCTTCTCGGCTCCCGAGGACTTATCCAACGGCAGCCTGATGGGATACAACTACATAGTTGTAATTTTAAATACTTACGTATTTATTTATTTTTTGTTGTCTATTTTTGAGAGAGAGAGAGAGAGCGTGCGCGCACAAGCAGGGGAGGGGCAGAGAGGGAGGGAGACACAGAATCCAAAGCAGGCTCCAGGCTCTGAGCTGTCAGTGTACAGAGCCTGACATGGGGCTCGAACTCATGAAACAAGATATTGTGACCTGAGCCGAAGTCGGATGCTTAACCAACTGAGCCACCCAGGAGCCCCTGCTTACATATTCAATTCACCTCATCCTCTCAAAAATCAGGTAAGTACTATTAGTAGTCCCATTTTTCCAATGAGGAAATTTGGCATAAAGGAGTTAAATAAAATACTTGCCCAACATCACACTCATGGCAAATAGCAAGGCTGAAGTCTAAACCCAGACTCTCTGGCTCCAGCCCTGGCTCTTCATCCCTATGCCTTATCTTGCCTTTAACCTTTCCCTAGTCAAAGTCATCTTTCCAAAACACAGCTTTGGTAATCTCACTGTTCCAGGACCTATTAGAAAATGCTGCTGTTACATCAACATAAATGCCTGCCTTCTAATCAGCCCACAGTTGAAAATCTAAATCTGACCAAAGTATGTGCAAATGTCTATCTACCCTCCCACTCATTAGCTATGCAATTTCGCACAAGTTACTCAACCTCTCTGAGTCGCTATTAAGGCATTTGAAAAGGCTCTCTCATTGAGCTGCTAAGGAGCGGACAAAGGACCTGGTACAAAGCCTGCCTGGCTTCCAAAACTATGAGCTCAGTAAGAACTAATTTTCTTGCCCTAGCAAAGCTTTGCTTTAGTAAGGCATCTCCATGTTCACATCATCTCTGGACTCCTGTTTTCTTCTACCTAGAAGGTTCTGATTACTCGGATGGTAGCTACCATTTCATGCAGTACTTCTTAGTATCCTGAGTCCAAAATGATTTACTTACAGTCCACAATCACTACATCTGAGTCTATCTTACTATAAATCCTCTGAATTGGCATTTTATCAGAAGATGCATTTCAAAGAACAGTCTCCTATACGCTGATTTGCAGGAACAAAGAGCCTCAACCAGCCCAACTCGAAGTCCCAAGCACACTGCAACGGCTGGCGCACACACAAAAGCTTGCTGACTGACCTAAACACAGTGCGTGAAGAGAAAATCTCAGAAATGTATTATGAATTCCTTCATTTTACATCAACTTACCACCAGATAGTCCTGAGTTCAAAAGGGGATGTATCAAAACTAAGTTATTTCAATGATTTCACGCAAAGACAGGGAGTAGCAGCTTAAAGGTGTAGCAAAACTGGAGGTTTCTTACACTACAATGCCAGGACCCAAAGATAAATATTTAAGAAGGCAAAGATAAATCTTATATTGCTTTACTCAAGTTTAAGACTGGTCAACCTCGTACTGAAAAAAACTCCAATTTATTCCTTTGTTTCTTCTGAGCTCAGCTGCTTAGTCACCTCACAAGGTTCCTGAGACAAGGGCTGGGTTGGTAAAAAATGGACTTTCTGACTCCAGCCAACCAGCCTACTGAACAACGACACCAGTCATAACAGAGATGCTACTTAAGAACTTAAGGACTCTCGGGGCGCCTGGGTGGCTTAGTCGGTTGAGCGTCCGACTTTCGCTTGGGTCATGACCTCGCGGTTCGTGGGTTCGAGCCCCGCGTCAGGCTCTGTGCTGGCTGCCAGCTCGGAGCCTGGAGCCTGTTTCAGTCTGTGACTCCCTCTCTCTCTGACCCTCCCCTGTTCATGCTGTCTCTCTCTCTCTAGAAATAAATACATTTAAAAAAAAAAAAAAAAAGAACTTAAGGACTCTCTGATGCACCTACCACTACTATAAAAACTCAAAATATAGGTCATCCATTTGCTTTAAGGATACCATTAATACGTAAACCATCCTATTACTAATGAAGAGGCACAGACACCTAACACTTTTTTTTTTCATGTTTAGTTAATTTTGAGGGGGTGGGGTGGCAGAGAGAGCAGGACAGAAGATCCAAAGCGGGCTCTGTGCCGACAGCTGAGAGACGACATGGGGCTCAAACTCACAAACTGTGAGATCATGACCCAAGCCAAAGTTGGATGCTTAACTGACCGAGCCATCCAGGCACCCCTGGAATTAAAAAAAATTTTGTTTGTTTTAAGTAGGCTTCATGCCCAACAAGGGGCTTGAACTCCAGATCCTGAGATTAAGAGTCACATGGTCTACAGACTAAACCAGCCAGGTGCCCCCTTAAAATTAATGCTCAAAGTTGAAGCTTAGATTGACTCACAGATTCAATGGCTGAAGCCAGGCCACACTACAGATGCAAATTCATTATTTTGTGAATATCACAAGGATACAATGTTGACATAGGTCTGCCACTGTTCCAGCTCCAAGTTTATCACCAATA